ACTGGTCCTCGCAGTCCAAGGATTCGAGCGTGTCGCTCCACTGTTCGTTCCGCCACTCGTTGAGACGATATGTCACCGACCACTGGAAGGCTCTTATCTAATGTGGGTGTCGGAGGACAGATTCAGCACCTGTGATGAAGCTATGTGACATTTATATAATTTTGAAATCCCTGATATGTATATTTATGCATTGAGTAAAATGCATGAAATTTAAGTCACATTTCAGACCATTTCTACAGGCAGAAACCACTGGATATTACTTACATTTATGCCTTCATATGTAAATAGCCATTTATGTAATGTAATAATGTAGGTTGTCGAAACAGATGGCTACATTTTTACAGAAGATAACGTTCAATATTAATAACACACAACACACTGTCAATGTCATCATGGCATTAATATTTTCTAGCACTTTGCTCAGTTTTGGTACCACCGCTTTACAGAAATCATCATCATCTTTTGGCTCACTTCATATGTCACTGGCTCCGAGTGTGTTAGATTTTTTATATTTTTCGCAGACGCTGTGATATCCTCTGTTCAAAGATACTGCACTACTGAAGTTTCCTCATCTGCCTCAATCCAAGATGCCAGGTTGTTGCTTAGTGCCAAGCACATCACATGCAGCCTTCTGGTCTTGTCTTGAAAATGGAATCAACTTCATATTGTTTGCAAAAACTACTTGGTATAATTTACCCCTAAGCTAACAGAACATTATGCAGCATCCTTTAGCATTAATGTCACAAGAAATTCTGTAACCTGCAATTCAGAGTTTACAACTCCACCAATCAGCTAACTGTGTAACACCTTAACTGAGGCAACTAAGTATGAAGTATTTGAACTGAGTAAAACCACTTTCATTTCTCTAGTAACAAGCAAAGTCTGATTTGCTGTGTAATGGGGAAGAACCTAGCCTTGAATGTAGAAATATGGATGCTGGCAGTAATACAAATAAGAGACAAGCTTTGTTGACTTACTTTCTGAAAATAAATTTTGCTCTTTCGTCTACAGAGATGCTGATGGACATGTACATCTGTTTTGCAGGGACTTTGCTGATCGATTGCATCACAGTATATCTCAGTAGCACATTTGTATGCAACGTGGCACCGGTAATTACGAACGTGAGTGATCATGAGATGGCAGCATAATACACGTGATGCTGTGTTTCCAACCAATAGCAGTCACTCATCGCCCTGATGATGGAGGCAGTAAGCACCTCTGAAACACATCTTCAGGAGCACGATATTATCGCTATGTTATGTTTACGTTTTGGTGAGTGACCGGGAGAGGGGGTGTTGGATGGTAGTTAGCATTGTTACTGACTGAGCTCTCAGCAGTGGCTCCTGTCATGGTATTAACTGTTACTGCCAGATTGTTGTTTATTGTGGTTTGACTTCTGCTCCAGATCGCAGAATTATATGCCATTAAATTAAATCACATTACATACTCAAATGTGACTTAAACATTGAAACTCAGATAAAATGAGAAAAATATATTAAATTAGGATGCTATTTATTTAACAGTTGCTGTACAGCTTTTCTCAAGTATATTACATAATGAAGCATAATTGTGTAATGTTTTATGTAGGTGAATCATGCAATTCGAGCAACATTCTGTGGGAAGTCAGGGGTAACGAATGATATGAGTTTTCATGATGGAAAAGATACAGTGATTCTGACCATTACAAACACATCCTCAAGGAATAGGTGGGAGAATCTCATTAAGTTTTTTGAACTCTTAACTGATTATTACTGGTGTATAGTTTAGGTTTATTGTCTGCATCATTCATTCAGCATCATGCCATGAACATGTCTGTACATAAGAATTTAATTGTTACGTCTGTCCCTTCAGAATGGTAAAAGTTTTTGTAAAATTACCTGACAACATAATTAATTTGCTGTGTGAATACCACTGTGAGGAATATTTAACTTATTTTATGTTTTGCAGGAAGTCAGTCGAATAATATTCCTGAATATAACTTATTTAACATTTATTTACAGTTTTGAAGTTGATTAACTGATCAAAGAACATAGGCACTGCCATTGTAATCCAATTGAATTGCTTTGGTCTCAGGCTAAAAGGTTTTACAATAGCAATGAACTGAAAATTACAGGTTATAATAATTTGTACTTTTCTCATAGTTTAGGAAATATTGTGACACGGGGTAATTTAAGTTATGCAGAAAGTTTCTTCCACTATGTTAGGCTGGCGATTTTACACATTTACATGATGCGTATACAAATCCATTTGCACCATGAAAAAGTTCAGCTCCATAAGGCAAAGTTTTTCCAAACAAGCAGATAATTACTCAGCCAGTCAAAACCAAAGGTTCACAAGGTATCCCGCTTTAGAATCCCCATCCTGAGGAATTTCAGACCATTTGACACCCTCCGAATCTATTTCCTTCAGATACATTTTAATATTATCCCCCAATCTACGGCTAGGTCTTCTGGGTGGTCTGTTTCTTTAAGAGTTCGCAAAAAAAATATTGACTTAATTTATAAAGTATTTGTCCCATTGAAAATAATTTCAAACAAATGTGTAATTCTTAATGATAATTACAGACATAGGCATTATGTACTCACATTTACCACATGACTGCTGTTTCTGAGGTTATAAATAATATGCAATTGTAACTTCATGTAAAGTTGGTGTTACACAGGACCGATATGAAGTAAGATAAAATAGCCCGAAAGTCTTTTTGCACACTTCATGAAATATATGCCAAAGACAATTAAAAATCCCGCTTACCTTGTTAACCACGTCGTATTTCTACTCGCACGATAAAATGGCACTTTAACAGCTCTGAATTTCCAGAAGCAATGCATAATTAGTGGTGTTGGTGGTGGGGGGAATCTTTTGACTATACAGTATGAAAATATTAACCAATAAACTCATTTCCAATAAGACAATTGACACAACTATGCTAAATTATCAGAATAGAATATTTTCGAGGCCGATAGTAGCTTAGTGGCGTGCACTGCACCAGCTGATCGTCTAATTGTCTCTGCAACTCGTCCCACAGTCTAATTGTCTTCTCAAGTACAACAGACCTTGGCTTCCACCACAATTTTTCTACATTCTTTGACTGACCTCAGCCACTTTATGCAAATTTCTTATTCCCATACTCTTTCAACCCTATTAAACTCCATCTATCCATATTTGCATGCTCTACATTCTTTCCTTGTTCCTTCCATTTTAGACGTCATTACGTTCTTAGGCCTTCTTTTGTTATTCATCCCTTTTTCCCGTCCTGATGGTTTTCAGGCACCTTTATGAATAATCTTATGGTCAAAACCAGTGTTATATAACCGTTCCACCTTCTCTACTCGGTTTGCTCAGTTGCTCAGGGGTTATCTCAAGAGTCGCTTAAAGGGCTTTTGATTGAAGACAGCTCGCAGAGGTAGATGGTCAGTTCTGAAGTCGAAACGTCCGTCCAGTCCAAAAGTTTCCTTCAGACTCAAAATATTTTTTTATAAATCAATAATATAGATCAGGTGTAGCAAAACCTCTCTTACACTGTCGTGTACTTTACTAAACCATTTAAAATAGAATCAATAGACCTCAATTTTAAGCCACGGTGGTCTAGCGGTTAGAACGCTGGCCTTGTAATCCTGGGGTCTCGGGTTCGATTCCCGGCGGTGCCCGAATTTATAACTTGTGTTGGGCAAGGCAACACGGAGTTTTCCTCCGGGGGATTCCCCGGTTTCTCCGTGGCATCCCAACAATTACTCCATTCACACACAGAAGAAGGCAATGGCAAACCACTTCTGGATCATCTGCCAAGAACGTATATGAACAGGTCCCAGTCCGAGAAAAGGATGGAAGGATCCTGTTCATATGGACCTGTCATCAGACAGAACACTAAATAAAATACCTGTCATTTATGTTCATGTAGACTGTATATATACATTCACACATAACTCGAAAGCTGTGTCAATCTCAACACGTATGGACCATGTATACTCCCTTTAAGCGACTCCAGAATACGAAAATTGAGATAACAAAATCATGACTTGCTCACGCGGCTTTCCGTCAAAAGAATAACCACAGTATACAAACACTTCTAAAGAAATTAACAATTGGTATATGTAAAATTCCTTAATCTTACAAGTCATAAATCGCAAACATATGCCAGATATCACCAACAATAGAATCCAGAAATCATAAACTACCACATGTCACAAGTCATAAACGTCAAACTAATCCAAGCCGTAATACACAATTTGCCCGGTTACAGTTCATTGCAATTAAATTATTCATTTGGCCAAACTGAACTAACGGATTACCATTTTCACTACTTTAATTATGTATAGTGTAGTTTCCTGCAACGTATGCTATATGATTTTCTCTACCAATCACGGCATTAAAATCACCAAGAAAAATAAGCATGTCATGTTTTGGATGTTTTAGATAAAAGGTCATAATTGTCGCATTTGTTACATTTTACTCTTCCTGTACCTCACCACACATGGAAATGTTGCGCTTTTCTTTCTTCATGGAGCCGAGCCATTCCTGAGAAGCCAACAGTCCCCAACCACTCAAGAAATTCCTAACATTTTATAGAACCCAAAGGTTCATTAAATTGTTCACAACAGCCCACCACTGGTTTCTAACCTAAGCCAGACGAGTTCATACCACCCCATACTATTTATCTAAGATACATTTTAATATTATCCTCCAACCTGTGTCTAGATCTTGTTGCGCATTACAGTATTGAAACGTATGCTTCCACTACCACTGAAGTCATGTTCAGGCTCTTTCTTATGCGTGGTTAATACAAATGTTGTTACGTACAAATTCTGAATTTGTTATATGACATTAAAGATCAAATATTATATGGCATAATCTATATACAACAAAGCCAATTCAAGACTGCTTCAACAAACACAACTTGAAAAAGTTGACATTTCTATATTGTTGAACGTGTTTTGTCTCAAATACGTAAATCAACAACTTATGTTTCCATGGAAAAACGTAGTATACAATCTGCAGTGAGTAATGAAATCGTACACAATATAATTCACTTGTTCTGTTGCATTCATTACGTGGACGTTTTCGCGCAACTGGATCACAACATCCTTGCAGAATTCGGTAAGTAATAAAGGCATACCTTACATTCGGCTGCAGTAACACATTTCGTAGAATTCGTAGTTAGCCTACGCTGCCTGTTTCAACACAAGACAACCATAACCACAAAAGACACACGTGTTTAACATCATAGCTCGGATCAGGTTTCGAAGCGACTAAACTCCAAGCTTCAGTCGGTATCGCAACGCGCAGTTTCCACGCGCATTCTGAGTACTTCCAGGTGACGTACAGAGAATCACCGTATCGTATTGTTTGGCGACGAAGAGAAGTTGACAGGAAGCATAGACCGGAAGTTTTTCGTGTTTTTCCTCAGTCCCTCTAGGCTTGGACAGGATCTTAAGTTAGGCACAGATCGCTTCCTTCCACATACATTCCAATTCATTATTCACCATCATCCTCTCATTTGACGATATATTAATATAATCTAAGCTACAGAAATCGCGTCGTTAAATCAATGAGAATTCCTAATACATGTTTCTAACGTGATAGTCTACTGTTTTCGATGCTGGAGCCATCTATGAAAAATCTAAACGTCTTCAGGGAAAGTTACTAGGGGGACTATAGCCCAGACGTAGAAAGCTAAGGGCAGACAAAGGAAATGTTAAAGAAAGTAGGCGATAAAAAAGGTGCTCTGACGTACGATACTAGTGGAGCTGCTCCTGCAACAATTTTTAGGCGTTATTGCAGTTATTCCTGTAAAATATTCTCTCGGAACCGCAAACAAACACCATCGAGATATTTAAGTAGCCAATTGATAGAACGACAATCCGAGCTATGGATACCGTTTGTTATGTATGTCCCAAGAAGCTAGATAAGATTTAGAGAGATCGTTGATCAACAAATAAAAATGACTGAACCGTTAAAACTCATTTTTATGATAGTAAAAATCTTCGGGATTTCGTTCTCACGAGGCCTAATCAACGTGCTAAAGTATATAATTCTAAGATTTTTTGCAGTGGTTAAGTATTAAATAAATTGTCTCGCGTCATGTACAGATATTATTCAGATTTTAAGGAAATAATTCAATTCAGCCTCGTCGTTAATCCAGCAGTGTGTGTGTGTGTGGAGGGGGGTTAGAGGCGCGTCAGATTCTATGGCTATTTTAAATTTTAAATTTTGAATTTCTTGTGTTCATTGTACCTTTCCTCGTGATTGAACAAAGAAGACACAGAATTTCTTGTAGCTGTCAGCCACATTGATTGTCTTTATTATATGCACTTCTTCATTCATTACTTGTCATACTGAATACAAGACGTACATGAAATTGAAGTGTTAATATATTAATTTAATATGATATATCAGTTAATTATCTTTTAATTTATTTAATTCCAATTTGTAGTATCAGTGCATTACAATATATAGAAGGGTTATAAATAATTTAAACCACATATTGAGACATTCATACGTAATATTTATTATATTTTATTTCTTAAAAATATGCCGATTCATTATCCTTCCAAAGACACCTTCTACTTTTAAATAAGGTCTGCGTGGAGAACATTAAACAGATGTCAAGCTCTGTGCCGTGTTTAATGGATGGTTCTCGTATTCTAACTGCAAACTACGTGGCAAAATGATCAAAATTCCATAATACACTTTTGTCTAATTACCTGTGACTGATAAAGAAGGCTGTATTGTACAATGTCGAACAGAACTCAATCATTGTTACATTGGTTTCCTGAGTTCCATTACTTTCACCTCATTAGTGTAGCTCCTGAGCCAGCTGAATCCAGTTCAGATTCACAAACCGCGTCTGCCCCAAAATGTTTCCAACATTTATTTTTCTTACTCGGGTTTTTGAATTCAGTTATAAAAATGTGTTGTATATTATTTAATATGTACACACATGTAAATTAGAAAATAAGGCAGAATCGACTGACGTCATCGGAAAGCTATAGGGTGCAACCAAAATAAGTGCATCGTAACGAAAAATATTCATAAATTATGAGACTGTAATAATTCCGACCGAAAAATGGCCGGTTATCCTAAATGAGGTCGGTTTCATGGAAACTACGGGATACTGTACTAAATTAAGCCACGACCGCTTCCTTCCACATCCTTTCGAGTTCACTGTTCCTAGAAGCCCAATCATTCGATTCTATAGCCGACAGCCTAAGCTATTTTCAGTGTAACAAAGAACAAGTTAAACTGAGGAAATATGAACATGCCTTAAGTATCAGTTTGTAATATTATGTAGCTGAGCTTGATATTGAGCGACGTTACAAAATACTTAAATCACATGTATACACACACAGACTCAGACGATGACTGTCTTCTGGGGTGCTGAGGAGAATCTTTGAAGTAACAGGGGGTTTGGCCTGAGAAAATCGAAAATGACGAGCTCCATAATTTGTATCCTATCAGATAAATCAAGCAGGATTAGATTGGCCAGACCTGTAGTACACATGGGAGAGATTATAAATGGGAGACCACTTGTGAGTTGGGACTCAGCTTTATCAGGATAGTTACCAGTGTTGGACATTTGTTAACAAGGTAATTCAGACTTTATAAACAGAATTACATTTTTTCCCACCTGAGCGATAATTTGCTTCTGAAAAAATGGGGCTCATTACTGTACATTTAATGTGCAATTATATTAGCAACTTCTCTAGTGGGTCTTTGGATATACAAGGACTCAAAGTTGGCAGTCACCCTTTTGTTCTGTTGTCCATAACGAGATAGCAGACATAAGAATCCAGACTTTGGTATGATGTAATGAGTTAGAGTGTAAGAAACATTTTATTTTTGTAGTGTTACTGACTGTACAATGTACCATTTCGACGTTACATAGCCTGAGTTACTGAAAAGGCGTCATTAAAGAAGCTATAAATAAATAAAATGCACCATGAGAATTCCGTAACTCTGTAAATGCAATGACTGGACATGCAATATGTTAATATCTGATAATATTACCGTACCTTGTTTTCCAGGATCGTGACATGCCCGACGACCACAAGATACAGAACACTAAGGTTGACCAGGGTACTGAGGACTTTTAGGTTGACCAAGATGCTGAGTATGGCAAGATCCATCAAGTTTTCCAGGACTTTCGTCAGCCTGGTGACACCTGGTATGTAAAATGCACTGTGATAAATACCAAAATTATAACAAAAGGCACGTCGAGTGCTTAGGCTATTGTACTGAACCTCAATGAGATAGTACTGCAAGCTTTATGATAAACTACTTCAGTATCTTGTATTGGAGGGCACATGACATATAAAAATAACGTTTAGAATTAAACCATCGTCGTCACGGAATAGTTACTGGCAGCTAATATAACAAATGATAGATGCGTGTAGGAAGTACCTAGTTAATTTTATTCACTTTAGTTTTTTAACTCTGTCTCAGGAGAAACAGGAGTCGAATCTGCCGGTTACCTCCTCCTTCATCCCACAAAACTAACCACTACACAAAATCGTAATAAATTGTATAAGATCAGAATTTATATATTTTATTTCTGTTTTCAACACGTTTATACGAGGCGCGATCGGAACGTTTCCAGACTGCGCGGAAAAAAAACCGTACACTTATCTCAGGTATTAAATTCATCCATCACCCTCGAAGTAGTTCCCCTGGGACTGAACACAACGATCCCAGCGCCGCTGCCAAGCCTGGAAGCATCCCTGGAAATCTTTCTTTGTCAGCCTGTCAAGCACCATCTGCGATTCTGCCTGAATCTCTTCTATCGTCTCAAATCTCCTTCCCTTTAGCTGACTTTTCATCTTTGGGAAGAGGAAGAAGTCACACGGAGCTAAGGAGGTTGCGGGATGACGGCCATGGTGTTTGAGGCCAAAAACTGCCGAACTTTGAGGGCGGTGTGCGCTGGTGCGTTGTCATGATGCGTCGCATGTGGAGTTCTTCCTTTAGAATCAGCTGACAGGTCCCTTAGCCTATCCCAACAATGTCGCACAAGTCGTTGATGGTACGACGTCGATCTTCGTAACATTTTCGGGCGTTGTGCTCGAAGATGGTCGTCCAGAACGCTCGTCATCATCGACAGAGGTTCGGCCATTTTTAAAACGTGAATGCCACACAAAAGTTTGTGCACGAGCCATTGCGGACTCCCCAAATGCTTGCTTTAGCATTTCATAGGTTTCCGTAGCCGTTTTGGCGAGTCTTTGGCAAGAGATTCAGGCAGAATCGCAGATGGTGCTTGACATTCTGACAAAGAAAGATTTCCAGGGATGCTTCCAGGCTGGCAGCGGCGCTGGGATCGTTGTGTTCACTCCCAGGGGAACTACTTCGAGGGTGATAGATGAATTTAATACCTGAGATAAGTGTACGGGTTTTTATACGCTTAGTCTGGAAACCTTCCGATCGCACCTCGTATAATGTGAAAATAAAAGCAGTCCACAAGATGGCAGTAAATATTTTTTGCCATAATTCTCAGCAACAGACAATGAAAAATGGTCAGATACCACATCAAAATAATACCTTACACTTTTCTCATAATGGTACATTAAATAACATTGCAAGTTTTGTTTACAATGTTTTTTTCTGGTCTATTTTTTCGCGGTGAATGAACTTGACTGGAGGACTTACACTCCTTTAGTATCTTGAACACGCTAATCATTGCAACTGCCAGATGTCAGTCTTTCGGCTACGGGTGATACTGTTGTACCAGTTTACGTTCAATAAAAACTTACAAGGGCCCAGAACACTTGGTTCAAGTCTGTGTTTTACTATAATCTAGACCAGAGTTGACCATTTGACTCACGCTGGCTATGCATAGTGTTGTGATTGGTATTCAAATGAAAATGGGTAATGGCTGTACATCAACAACAAATTGAGTTTATTGTAAAGATGTTTGTTAGCTTCAGAACAGCTAAAATTTAAAGTTATTGTTAATTTTATAAAATTTCACTTATTAATACCACGGCAGTTTCCATGATGTTTTGTTACGCTTCATATGGTTTGAACAACAGAAAATGCACGTTTGCAAAATTCCCATATGCACTGATCTGGGAGCAAACATGAGCATGTGTGGTGAGAATTCAATAATGCCTAAGCTATGACATGGCCGCAAACACTTACACGTCTGAACGTATCTCCAAAACAGCAAGTCTTAGAAAGAAGGAAAATGTAAAACAAAGTTCCTTTTAGAAATGCAACTCTGGAAAATTATTTATCTTTCCTATTTATTTCGTAACTCAGATACATAGGGTGTGCATGACAATGGTGCTTCACAGAAGAAATGGTGGAGTAGAATGGGGCAGAGGTCCGCGTGCGGCAAAATTTCTTTTCTGATGAAGTTATTTACTAGGATTATATACTGACAGAAGTGAAACAATTGTGGGAAGGTAAGGTTAGGTTAGGTTAGAAATTTCATTATGTTTGTTTCATGGTTTTCTTTTGGTATATGCTTGCACTGTGAGGTAAATAAAATTATTCTGTTAAACGATGGGACGTAATATATAAGCTCTGCTGTTTGAAATCATGTTTGATAAGAGATAATTCATTACTAAATGGATCAGTTTGTCTTAAAAAAATGTCAATCGTGCTTGTAGGTCAAAGCACCTACCACTTTACTGTCTTGGAGGTGTGTGTTCTGCTGTGTGGCAGCCATCTGCAAGGATTCTCACACCATGATGTCAACATCACATTTGTGTTCTTTTGCAACTTATGAAAAATTCTGTTTAGCATAATTTCCATATAAGATCCAACCATGTAATACAATTGTTTGTATTGTTCTTAAACTACACACACCAAGTTAAATTCAAATGCTATGCTGAAACAAGACCATAACAAAAAAACATATTACTTCAGCTGATGTAATAAGATGTAAACTTGGTATATGAAAGTGGACTTCAGTTTATTAAATATTTCAGAAGTGTACAATCTTACAGTTGCAGATTCCTGTCCCACACAATTTGGATCTTTGTTTCAATGACTGGGAAAAGATCCATTTCTGCTAAGTTAGACTTAACATTAATTTGTGACACAAACTGAATAGTTCGTGACTCGACTAAAGATGGATTTTGTAACTGATACATGTTTGACTTTCCTCTAAGCAGTGTCAAATAAAAATGTTAACTGTAAGTGTGCACATTTGCCCCATTCTACTCTTCACGTAGTTTTCCTCTTGGAGAGACAACCACGGGAAAGGTATTGATTTTGGGGGTTAAATAGGGCTAAAAGGTGTCCAAAAATTGTATATACAAATGCATCCAAGGATAAATGGTAAATACGAAATATGTTTTTCTTGGAGAGATGACCAAGAGGAAATTTTTACATTCTTTCTACTCCAAAATACAGGCACAGGGATACCAAAAACTTGTATCACTAATCATAAGTGTGGTAAATACATAGAGTGGTCTCCTCTTCAGGAAGTAACATCAAAAACGATATATAACTAAATGCCAACATGTTAAATACATAAAACTGCCTCCTCTCCAAAAGATAACAACAGAAAAGTTGTAGGATTCTTGTGTTTCGTAAATTAAGCACTAGGTTCTCCATATAGCTTGGTACGTAGAAGAAAACATGGGAGACGTAGAGAATGCTCTTGTAGAAAAGATAAACCTGGAAAGCCGGTTCATATTATTGGTGACATGTTCAATAACGCACATACATAACAAATTTGATGCTTTAGAATACTCTACCAGTAGCCTGAATAATGCCTATGTGTTACATACTTAAATTTTTAATTTCTTTATTAGTGTAATTAGTTGAATAATCTTATGAACTGTATTCATAACTGTTACTATGTTCTTGAATAGATTTATGATACGTAACTTTGCTTACAGCCAGCCGCAGTGGCCACACGGTCTAAGGCAAGGACCTCGTGCACTTGGGCACTGGGACCGTCGGTTTGAATCCCACTCAAGGCAAGGATGTTTGTACTCGTCTTTCTGTGTTGTACTGTCCTGTGTATGTAGAGGCCTTCCGATGGGCTGATCACTCGTCCAAGGAGTCCTACTAAATGTCAAATAGGATTAAATGAATGAATGTGTACCTCGACACCTGCGGGTTGCGGGTAAAAAGAGAGCTCTCTTTGTATACATACTATTATGCACAATTATCTTTTTACGTAATAATTAAATAGTTTATCTATCAAAAAGCAAAATATTTAGTAACGTAAATATAAGCATACATACACATTTGTATTAAATGTGCTTTTGGTATTTTGTTGAATTTAAAACAGCACTGCAGTTATAAAAATAATGAAAATTAATGGGATACAATGTGTTTGACTGCAGGTCCATGGTGAGGAACCCGACTAATAACAAAATGTTATCTTCAAAAACGAATGATAATGAAAATCTCTCAATGTTATCTTTCCAAAACAAGGAACAGCAGACAGAGGAACTGGATAAAAGATGCCAGTGCAATTCATGGCCAGTAATGGAAGATACAATTAATAAGCTCAGAGATAACCTGACAGCTATTGAGAGAAAGGTAGAAGATGTTAGTGAAGCCATTGTAGAAAGAGACATGTTATTAGCCAGATTACAGAACTTTGATAACGTGAATCAGGAACTTGAGATGCTTAAAGTTAAAGTGGCAGACCTGATGCATCACAAACATAATGGAGAGAAGAAAACTGAAAAGACGATAAAGAAATTGAATGCGTGTGTAGAAAGGCTCCTATATGAAAATAAAAAGTTAAAACAGGAAAGTGATTGGATTCGTTACCGCTGTGGAGATAAAATAACAGTTACCAGAAATGATGAAGCAGCGGGGCATCTCTGTACCAAAGGACACAGGAAAATCACAAAGAAACAGGTAAGCCACTCCTTTCTTTCCTGTCGAGAGTCAGTCTAAAGAGTTGAACAGAACTTCAAAGAAAGATGGCCGTGTTCTGGGTTGTTGTGTGGTAGAATTTACCAAATTTTGAGAGGTTCTTGGGTCATGATGGCAGCAGTCACCGCTAACACACAGCTATACTTTTACCAAACTACACGATAAACTCCGAAGACAGCCATCTTCATAATTGCTGCCCTGAGAGCTTCAGACGTTTCGTGAGAGATAAGAACTTCTATTCTACCCACAATTTATTGTTTTCAATGCAGAATCATTAATGTCAACAATCATCTGTTTCTGGAAAAACTGTTACCACCTAAGTCATGACAGCCAGTTTGTGGGAACTGAGGTTT